CTCCAAGCCACCTCCAACCTAATGGCGATGGCCTCCAACCTACTAGCCATGGCCTCCAACCTAATGGTGATTGCCTCCAACCTACTAGCCATGGCCTCCAACCTAATGGCGATGGCCTCCAACCTACTGGCGGTCGTAGGGTCGTCTCAAGTCGCTAGGGCTTCACTTTAGTCGCTAGTCGAGTTTCCGCAGTCGAGTTGCGTTGGATGGCTCCGTCAAGAACAGGACCTTTCAAGATCAAGACTTGGAAAACAAAATCATGATCAACTCATCAGTTTGTCAATTATTTGGCGAAAAGCCTGACAAAAAAGTGCGTAACAAGTGCCACGCTAGTCGTAACAAGTGCCTTACTAGTAGTAACAAAAAGCTATTAAATTGAATTAAAATGAGATTGCGTGTGAATCGAAGCCAAAAAATACCCCAAGTTGAGGAGCCGTGCTGATCCCGGCTGCAGGCAGATCGACCTGACAAAACAGCTCAAGGAGTCAGCAAACTGGACTAAGAGTAAAGTGAAAGCAATCCTCTGATGTCTCACGGACTTCTCATGATTTTGTTTCAATGGTCACCCTGCGTTGAAGAAGCCATGAGCCTCGTTGACCAGCTCACGCACGACTTCTTGACCACGCAAACTGAGCTCCTGAGCGCAAACCCAAGGGCGCAACCTGTAGCGTTGGACGTTGACACGAAAGCTGTCATCTGGATCACTGGATCAGAAATGAGAAGCAATATATATATATATATCAGGAAAGGACTTCAACAATGGGGAAACAAAAGAACATACAACAACCCTCTTCGGTTGGAGACCATTGCTATTAGGTTGGAAGCTATTGGGTTGGAGGCCATCGCTAGTAGGTGGGAGGCCATCGCAATTAGAAACAAACAAAGACATACAAAAACAACATCTGTGTACCGACACACTCAGGACCGTGGTCCTCGCGGCACAATGTGGGCCGTGATTCATCCCTGGCAGCACGAGCAACCAGAAAAAGAGGCCCGTACTGGTCAAATGAGTTTGCAGATGTATGTCTGCTGATGGTCAACATGGTTTGGCACAGGTGACAAAGAAGAAACTGTTCAGTCGATGTGCACGTTCGGCTGGTCATTTGGCCCTCATCCGGTTAAAGAGGCCAGCAGCCCTAGCAGCTAGCTTGAAGTACATCAGCTTCACTAGAAAAATGTGTCTCATGCCAGGGAGTTTTGACGTAGCTGCAAGCTGCCAACCAAAATTCCAAAACGGCAGCTGAGTAGCGCCACAAGTGTCAAACAGAATGAAGCCCCTGGAACTAGGTTGAAGTTGACATTCCAGTTCCAACACAAACACGTCGTGTGTCGTGTGTAGCCTTTGGATTGATCCCGTGGCATGACCTGCATGCTCCACTGGTGAATCGACCCTCTGGCACTTCTTTGCTCAGCTTTCATAAGGAAAATGAATTCGCTGAAACGTTGACAGAAATGAACTGGGCAACTTTGGCCCGACTTCAATGGCCGACCGCAATGCGAAGACCTTCCCTTCCATGGGTCTCCCATTTCGAGAACTGCTTCTCGCGTGTTTCACTTTCAGAGCTCTTGGGAGCTCTTCATCTTGCTGTTGTCGCCGTTGGCGAAGACGGTCGCCGAACTTGGATGCAAATGATCGTCCGATTGTTCCATATGACTCCACCGAATGCAACCCTCGCAGGACGTTTCCATCCCGTCCAATTCAACTGAGTTGCGCAAAGTCTCCGTAGATCATGGCTCCAGCCGTATTCTCGATCAATGCCTCAAGCTTCCCGCAAAGAGGGCAAACACGGAAATCAGAAAAGAATTGAGAAGAAAAAAAGAAGCAGGTGATCTTCGGGCAACGGACATTGGATTCCAAGTATTGCAGGAGCTCTTGGCTGCTGAGAGGTGCAAAGCCATTCCTCATGATTCATCATCACTCATGGCAAGTTAGAGCTTCGAAATCTCACAAAAACGCAATGCGGTTACCTATCGTTACCTCATTGTCTGCTGCCAGTGACACAAAGAGCCGCTCGAAGGGTCAGCCATTAAAAGATGAGGCTGAGAGTTTTTAGTTCTTAGTGTGAACCAAACAACAACAACAACAACAACAACACCAACACCAACACCAACACCAACACCAACACCAACACCAACA